TTTATTCTTCCACATTATCTCTCTTCTCAATATTTTATACTAGTTATGGATGAAGTTTTATGTAAATATATTAGAGATTGTGCTCATGCTTAAATGAACTGTCATTGAGAGATTAATCCTATAACCTTTATGAGCATGTTTTATTAATATCTTATCATTAAACTGAATATTAATAACATTTAACATTTAATAACCATAGAATGTGTATTTAAGAATATATTTCATGCTGGTGGGCTTTGAATATGTGGAATAGTCACTATAACAGCACCCAAATCATTAAACATATTTCCTATAATGTATTAATTGCAATGGTACAACTCATTTAAAGGGCAGCTCTGAATAACAATGATTACAATATCTTTGTCAGCATGCTGAATAGTATATCCTCAAGGAATGGAAGTATTTGGTACAGCTTTTGAAAATATTTTTGCACTCTTAAATTCCAGAAATATATTTGCCATTAAATGATTTATAATTAAACATGAAACTAATAGAAGAAGAGAATTCAAACTTTGAATATTAATGAAATGATAAAATATTTTTCTTACCTTAACTTAGTAACCCTTAGTAGTAAAGCAGTATAAGTTGTCTACAATGAAAACTTTTTTAAATGATTAATTAAAATATATTTTAAACTACTTTTATTCTCAAAATACTAAACCAATTTTTATATATCAGTTTATCTAAATGGTTTACTGTGAATTTAAAAATGTTGGATAGGTATCCTGACACTAAAACCCACTCCTTTTTTTTATGGCAATTAAGGATTATTTTAATATGAAAATGTGACTTGTGTATAGCATCTGTCATGTGGGAGAATACATATGACTATCTAAAGCAGTTTCATCTTCTGGGAAAATTCCATGGTTGTATCAAGTTTCCTCTGTATTAGTGGGGTTTTTTAGCCACATCCCCCCCCACCACCAATTTAATAATATAAAATGAATGTTTAGTGAAACTTCCATTAGGTGTTTTGCTAATTTTCATTATTTTGTCAGTTTTATATAGTAAAAACTTTTACACATAAAACACATATATACATATGTTTATGTACATACATATTCTTACATGATTATTTTAACACAGCACAGTGGCTTCTTCTGAAAAGTTCTTTAATTTTATGAAGGTTGTGGAAATAGCAAGATGGAAATCTCTATTTCAAGGAATAGTCCCCTTGTAAACTGAATCCACATTTTTCTCAGGGTATGTGGTCGCTCAGTCGTGTCCGACTTTGCGAACCCATGGACTATAGCCTACCAAGGCTCCTCTGTCCACAGAGTTTTCCAGGCAAGAATACTGGAGGGGGTTGCCATTTCCTTTCTCATAGCTAAAGCATTACTCGTGACCATCTTGCCTCTCCATTTGGAAGATTTTTTTTTTCCCTCCCGTATCTAGAGAGAATATATGTTCCTTAATACAAAGTTTTATGACTACAAATTTCCTTAATACAAAGTGGTATCATATGCATACCTCTGAAATGCAAATGATACCACTCTAATGGCAGAAAGTGAAGAGGAACTAAAGAGCCTCTGGATGAGGGTGAAACAGAAGGGCTAAAGAGTCAACTGTTCGCATCAGGTGGCCAAAGCATTGGAGTTTCAGCTTCAGCATCAGTCCTTCCAATGAATATTCAGGACTGATTTCCATTAGGATGGATTGGTTGTATCTCCTTGAAGTCCAAGGGACTCGCAAGAGTCTTCTCCAACACCACAGTTCAAAAGCATCAATTCTTCAATGCTCAGCTTTCTTTATAATTCAACTCTCACATTCATACATGACTATGGAAAAACCATAACTTTGACTAGACAGACCTTTGCTGGCAAAGTAATGTCTCTGTTTTTTAATATGCTGTCTAGGTTGGTCTTGATAAAGTAACATATGTAGACTTGATAAAGTAACATATTTCTCAACTCAAACATGTAAAGCAATGATAGCATAATTTATCCTTGAAAATATTGGGATCAGGGCCCAATAACAGAGACAAAAAGACATGAAAAAGATGGAAGAGTGAGTATCTTCAGAGACCAGTTGGATACTTAAGGAAAAGAGATAACTTGTAGGGTTCTGTCATGAGTGAGTAAGCAGATTTCAATGTCCATTCACCACCAGAGTACAGGAGAATGCAAAATAGCCTAATTGATATAATTTGCACTAACATTATAGGCTTCATTATTGAGTTTATGAAGTTCAGGAGAGGCCCAAGTAGTGGAGTCTTGATCAGCTAGGAAACAGTGATCCAGAATTCTATCTAAAACTAAGATCAGTGCTAGTGAGTGAAAGTTGCTCAGTCATGTCCAACTCTTTGTGACCCCATGGACTATACAGTCCATGGAATTCTCCAGGCCAGAATACTGGAGTGGGTAGCCTTTCCCTTCTTCAGGGGATCTTCCCAACCAGGGATTGAACCCAGGTCTCCTACACTGCAGGAGGATTCTTTACCTGCTGAGCCACAAGGAACGACCAAGAACACTGGAGTGAGTAGCCTATCCCTTCTCCACTAGGTCAGTACTAGGGATAATTATAAATTAACTAAATCTTATGCTGTGGCCCTTGCTCCACCGTCTCAAACTTAACATGCATCCTTGCTCCATTTGATCAATCATGTCTGACTCTTTGCGACCACATGGACTGTAGTCCACTAGGCTTCTCTGACCATGGAATTTCTCAGGCAAGAATACTGGAGTGGGTGGCCATTTCCTCTCCAGGGGATCTTTCTGACCCAGGGATCAAACCTGCATCTCTTGTGTCTCCTTCATTGGCAGGTGGATTCTTTACCACTAGCATCACTGACATCTTTGTTCACTTCTCATCTGGAGTAAGTGGTTCTCTAGGTTTTGTATTATAACCAAAGTAACTATGCCAAAATAAAGTCAAATAATCTTTCTTTCCTTCTTAAAAACTTTCATTAGTTTCCTACTGCCCATAAGAAAAAGTATAACCTCCTTATCTTGGTATGGAAGGCCTGGTATGATGTGGCCAATGGCTTGCTCTCCCAACTCTTCTATAGCTGCCCACTCTGGCCTTGTGCCCTGATCAGACAGCAGCACTGGCGCTGATCCACTAAGAATAGTAAGCTGTTTTATAAATCCATACCTCTGCATATGCTAATTCCTCCTGCATAGGGTGTTATATCCACCTTCTAGCTTATTTCCTTTCTTTTGCCCTTATAGCTGGTAGTTCCCATCATCCTTCAAGAAGAAATATTCTCCATGATAAACTCTGCCAGTGGCAATCCTTCATCTGTTATCACTAGACTTTACATTTCTAACATGACAATTAATGACCTTATTTTAATTATTTACATATTTGCCTCGCTTATTAGAGCATGGAATTTCAGCTAGCTCAGATAGTTTTTTTTTGGAAATAAGTCAAATGATGCAATAATCCATTCCTTTCTACCAAAATGCATCTCTTTCTACTTATCAACTAATAAAAGGAATCTCTTTAGACTTGCCCAAGGCCAAATACCTCTTTCTCAGATCTTAGGATAAATTTCAAAGCACCATCATATTACATACACTACACTTATGAGAAGATACTCTAAATGTCAAGCACATACAAAGAAGGAGAACAGGATAATGAATATATTACCCATTTCAACAATTATTAGCTAATGGTCAATCTTATTCTACCTGTGATGTCCATAGTTCCACTCTCCTTTTTTCCTTCCAAATATTTAGAAGCAAATTTTAACTGTAGTAACTTTTCATTCACAAATATTGCTGTATGTATTTCTAGAATCTAAGAACACTTTGAAAATATACTGATAATACCATTATCATACCTAAAATATTGTTTGTTAATATTAACAAGTCCTTAATTAGTATTCAATTTTATACTACTTCTCATTTTTAAAATTGTTTGAATAAAGACCTAGAAAATCTGTACTTTACATATTTACATGGGTTGATGTTTCTTGTAATCTAAAGCAGCAGCTTTCAACTGGGGGCAATTTTGCCTGTAAGGGACAATTTTGGCAGTCTGGAGACATTTTTGGTTTGTACAACAGCTATGAACTGAGTGTTTGTGTCTTCCCAGTATAAAGACATGCATTAAAATCGTAACCTCAATGGGGCTATATTTTGGCGAACCTAATTCAGCTGAGGTTCGGTTATACAGGTGGAGCCCTCATTATGGGATTACAGCCCTTACAAAAAGAAGAGAAGACATGGGATCCCTCTGTCTGCATGTAATAGGGCATGGAAGAATGTAACTAGGAAGAGGCCCCTCACGGACAATCTGTTTATACTGGCACGCTGATCTTGGGATTAGCTTTCAGAACTGTGAAAAATAAATGCTTATTGTTTAAGCCACCCAGTCGACGGTATTCTGGTACAGTAGTTCAAACTAACTGGGAAAACCACAGGAGGGTTGTTACTGGTACCCAGTGGGTAGAGGTCAGGGATAGTGCTAAATATCGTTCAATGCACAGGACTGCTGCCACAATAAAGAACTATCTACCTCAGCCTCCACCCCCAACAAATGTCAATAGTGAAAGGCTGAGAAACCCTGGTCTAGCAGTTCCTCTGTCACCCATTTCTTGTTATACTTTGGTCATTGAATAAACTGGACCATTTGTCCTATAGAATTTCTCACAGTATTTTGCTGATAACACACTGCAGTATTATTTTTATATTTTCTGTCCCTTGTGTTTATGAGCAATTAGATTTAGAAGCTTCATCAGATTCAGTGGGTTTTTTTGTTTTTCTTTTTTAGCAAAAATACTTTATTTCATTGATAGTATTGTGTATTTCCATCAGGAGGCACATACTGTCTAGTTCTATATCTCTCATCACTATAGGGAACTTTTGATGATCAGTATCTAAATCCATTCATTCAATAGTGGCCTCAAAATGATAATATTGTATTCTCATAATTATTTCATTTATTTAAAGCATCACTGTTTCTTGAAAATATTTTTACAATGTTTGATACAAAAATAGCATGGTGCCTAAAACATTTATTCATTCTGTGTTTTTTATTTTTTTATTTTTTTTCAGAAATATCCTATACCACCTTGATGGGAAGACAAGCCAATTTTCAATACTCCTGGAGGCTTGGGAGCGCTGCAAGTCACTTGCATCAAATGAGACCCTTCAAGAAGCCCTGTCAGAGGTGTTGAATAGCATTAATGCAGCTCAGGTTTACTTCAAAGCGGGACTTGATGTGTTCGAGAGTGTCTTAGTTGGAAAGAACTGAGAAAACTCTCAGCATTTTAAAAAGTTTGTTTACAATTCCTCAAGAAAAAGCTCTAATCTCACCAGATTTTCTGACATGGAAGACTTTTTCCCCTCAATGGCTTTTTATATAAGTATAAAGCTATTCTTCCTTTGTATTTTTTGATGTACGTGTAAAAAGAGCATTTTGCACATTTAATATTTTTCTTATATCTAGATTTCTGATTATGTAAAAGCAAGTTATTGAAAATAATACTTAAGATTTATCTATTAAAAAGAAATCTGCTGTATTTTTCTATATATATATATATAAAATATTTGGGGAAAAAATTTCAAAGATGTTCTGGACAGTCTTTGTTCCTAAGGATAAAACATGTAGGAATAGAAATAATTACCTGTGTTAGAGCTTTAATGACCTAGCTTCTGTAATAGAAATGGACAGCGGATATGGTTTCAGATTAACTTTTACTATCAAATATTCAGTATGAACAACAAGTATTCTGACTGAGTGATTGGTTGACGCAAACCACTTTGAATGTGTCTATTTTATGAAATGAAGTGCCTGTTTATAACACAACTAGATGTAGTAATACACTGGTTATGAAAATGTATTTTTTTAAGTATTAATTAAAAAAAAAAAAGAGCCATAAACATTCCAGGGGAAAATCGCAAGGTAGCTGCACAGAGCAATTTAATTGTAATTTTTTTTCCTAACCACTTATACGGTGACTAGCTTTGAAACCCCTAATTTGTCTCAGTTGATTTTGTAAAAATTTCAGGAGTGATATATGTCTTATGAGGGAGAAAATATGTATTTCTTCCTGTGTTGTTTCTGTTGGAAGCACTGAAATAGAGCTACTTTAAAATGAAAGCATCTCACTTTGCTCCTCATTCATGTATCTTTTCTGAAACTCCTTTCTGAAAGGCAGTTTTCTCAGAATACCATATAATTTCCACAGGCAAGTAGCAAAGTTTCTCTTTGAAAACCCAAAATATCTTAAAAAGTATCAAATTGCTATTTCTGCCACTAGCAAAAAGGACTTCTGATGAATGAAATAGTTGTTTTGATCAACAAAAAAGCTCCTTAATTCTATGAAAAAACTTTTTTCTCCCTTCTCTATCCTTACTTGTGATTGAGATGACAACACATAATATATTCATGCTTCTACTTTTAGGCAGAAAATACTGTATTACTTTAAGAGTGTATCTTTCCCATGCTTCAGTTCCTCTCTCATGTTGAAAATGAAGCTTTTCATACTAAGGCCACTGAAAGGCCACTGAATGGCCTTAGTATCCACTATTCCCCCAAACCACAGAATCCCATTAAGTGTTTAAACTCTGAGCTTACCTTTAGAAATTGATTTAGTATTGGATAAAGCAATTTCTCTTAGGAAGCATATCTTCAGAATATTTCATGTGGATTATTTTTCTCTAACACAACATTCGAACACATGTCCCTATCACACACCTCCAAAGCACCTTCACAAATAGTGCCTATAGGTCTAAATCTTTTATGTATATGAATGAACATACACCTAATCTTAGTTTAAAGGAAAACTGAAGTTAAAGGGAAAGAATTGTCAGCATTGATTAAGTGATTTATAAGGGTCAGCTGTTCTTACTATAAGTAATGTTTATGCCCTCAAGGCAAAGAAGAGAATTGAAGCAATTAGCTAGATAATTCAAGCAGAAACTCGGTTTCAATGAATGGCTTGTGTGCACATATTTTACATAAGAAAGGAAACTGCCTTACAATATATATTTCTAACCAATGCACGTGTTTGTCTGAAAGTATTTGCCATGTTGGGAAGTGGCTTCAGCAAGGGGCTAAAGAACCAAACTCCCACATGCCTTGGTGTCAGTACCCTCTCTCCTTCCACAGAAAAAGAGGAGAAAAAAGGCAAGAGCAATACACATACAGATTTGGGTCAGGTCAAATAATAGAATCCCTGTACCAAAGGATCAGAAATAGTGAATTAAGTTTCAGTGTGTTTGTTTTAATTCTTCCTTTGGAGCTGGGTTTAAAACAGACAAAGACAAATAATTATCGATTTGGTAGTTTATCATTTTAGAACAAAATCCTAAGTAAATTCATTCCTTTAGACTCCAATAGAGTTGAGAACATGAATATTTGTGTTTGCACATTTTTGTTGAAAGATTGTGTATTTAGCTAACTCACACTGCACAGATCAAAGTCTCAATATTCTGTACTTATTACTTCTAAATCATATGATATTTGATACTCAGAAACTGAAGTTAATTATGGACGAACATGTTTTTTTTAGCCTATTTAAGAGATGATGTTAAGAAACTAAATTATAATTGAAACTCATCCACCAATTCTGTAAATGCTGCTCATCTTTGACTGAAATGAACCTCTTAACTAGGAACATTACTACTATAGTCTGATTACCTCAGTGTTCCTTGAAATTTATGTCATTTAAATTTTCCCCTAACGATCCAAGTAAATAAAATCCTATGCAAGTTATTAATAAGTATTTTCAATGAATTGGTAGTTAGGTTAAATCACTGCTAAAATATCTGGGTGCCTGGTACTTCTTACCACCCTTCATACATAGCATTGTGCCAATCCATAATGAATCATAAATGATTATTCACCCAAGAAAAGGTGGCAGATGTGGACCACTCCAATTTGGGTTCAGGCAGGGTACACCTGGAATACCGCTTTTTGTAAAAAAGTACAGATTCCAGAGTCAAAAAAAAAAGCCTAAGACACTCTGATTAAAGTCTGAGAATATTACCTTCATTCAGGGAAAGCATCAGCACCCCCATCAGATACAGTAACTGCAGACAAAGTGGTCAAGGAATTGGGGCAGAGTCACAGTTTTAGTTAGTAGCAGAAGGGCTGCTAAAATTTAAGCTTGTTTGTTGTTTCATATAACAGAGTTCTAAATGGTTTTTTCCATTATATTCTAGGTAACTAGTCATTATATCAAATGCTGGATGGGCTGGAAGCACTGCTTTTTCAATTAGGGACCAGTTCATTCTCTCAATATACCTAACGAGTAGAACTGTCCCAGGAAGTTGACGCAAAGGGCACAAGCCTGTGTACTTGTGGGGAGGTAGAGAGAGTCTCTACATGATACCAGTGCTCAGGAAGAAGGGTATTAAAGCATTTTCCCCTACATTAAATTGGCAGTTTAAATCTGTATTTCTCAAAATGTGGTTTTTGGGGAAGGGAGCCTAGGAATCTATATTTTTAGCAAGATTTCCCAAATGATCATATGCTTAATGATTTCTCATCTACATCAATAATCCTGGGTCCTCCTGAGAAAACATCACGTGGGAACACACTAAAAAAATTGAAGGGTCACAATAATAGGAGATACCTCTAGCTTTGCTAATAATGGCATTTTAAAGAAAGAGAGAGTAAGCATTGTATTTCTCAAAAAAGGCCCAAAATGAAGCTAAGTCTGTGCCTGCTACAAGTCAGGCACATTTCTCAATTTAATGTACTTTTTTTTCTAATTGACTCCTCATGCCAACTTATTTTAAAAGATGAGGAAATTTAGTTGAGTGACTGCCCAAAGTTCCATAGCTAATAAAGATGATTGACATATGTGTCTCTGCTGGGCTCACTGGGTTCCAGACCTGTGTTCTTCATGCTGGATGTCACAGAAAGTTAAGAATCAGTTACAGAAAGTGACATTATTGAAATTTTTAACGTATTACTGCACAACTGATCAGACTATGTCACCTGCCACTTCACTGGTTGAACTAAGGAGTCTGAAGAAACCAACATTATTCCTCATGATGGTAGCCCACCCCAACAATGGTGGACATATGTAGGTAAATTAGAAGATAAGTAAATAAGAGCACAAAAATAAGTCTACCATTGTAGAATAGCATGACAACTAGATGACAGGGGAAGACCAAGTGCTGGGATTTACAACCTCAGTTTTATATCATACTTAAATCTCAGAATAACTAATTGACTTTTTAAATTATATGTATTTTAAATTACATGTACTTTTTAAATGTATAGCATACAATAGGTTTCTCCATTGCAAAGATATGTGTTACAAAAATAAAATGATTTGTTACCATCAGCATCTTTTGTTACAATCAGCATCTTTGCCTGAAATGAAAAACTATTTTCGTAATTGGTAGACCTCACCAAAAGTGTCCTCATGAGACATTCTGTGGTATGTGTGATTAATTACTCCAAAAACTATAAACTTTTTCATGGATATTGCATTGTCATCTGGTTTAAAGGATGATTAAAATGTGTCTTAACTACTCGATAGAATTATATTTTAAACTGCCAATCCATGTGTTGAGTGGAAGGCAAATGGGTCTATCCATCCCAAAAGATAGATCAGCAACCTAACAGTTCCATTATAGGAGCATGGATGCAACACAGGAGAAAAAATAGACATGTGATATTTGAGCAAAGAAATATTCTGCCTAGGTGCACTAGTAAATTTGTATTTCTTGCTTGAGTTTATATTGCTAGCTTAAAAAAGACTCATTAGAATTGCTTTAGAAAGAACTTAAACTTCCAAGAATTTTAAGCACCCCATCAAGTGTAAATACTTTTCAGTTAAGTGGGTTTATTTTATGCAGTTTAGAATTTCAAGTGAGGTAAATTTAAAAGAGGAGTTGCAAAATAAAATTTTTAAACATAGCCTATTTTGGTACCACAACGCTCACTCAGTTCTGTTTTCCCTTTTTAGATATACTCTAGCAATGGGATCAGGCTTTTTTTTTTTTAACTATGAGAAAGTAATTTTAGTATCTAGTCTTTTCAATGTACATTTATCTGTTAATCAGCCAGAATTTTATTTCCATAATGCCATTCCATTATCCTTCAAAGATGTACACTGAAGTGCCTTGAGCATTCCTGGGGCCATCAAGAATCTTCAGAGCTGGCTGATTGTGAGATGGCATATTTCTTAAAGACATTTAGAATCTCACACTCAAGTGGTATCTGAATTTACAAGGCAAAGGATTAAATTGAGGCACTTTCAGGTAGTAGTCAAGAAAAAGCTACTTCAAATTTTAGTATGTTCTGGTTAGATTATTTTGTATTTGAATTAAAATAGTTATGCAATGTTGTAAAGTAAAGTAAATTAATTAAAAAAAAGTTATGCAGTTTTGTGTAACCAAAACGGCAATTTTGATTTTTTTTTTAGACAAAATACAATCATCAAGGCCAAAGAAATGTATGACTACTCTAATTTCTTAAGCAGGCTCTGTCAAGAATTAACTCAGCTAATTGCAGTTGATTCTAGATGCAGAGCCTACATCTAGACAAAGCTCTAACATGTGTAGGCAGAACCTAACAACATTCTTTTGAATCCCTTTGATGTCTTAAGCCAATAAGCACTGAAGTAGCTTATCTCAGAAGAAAGCAGATTTTATTTTCCAGGGGCTAATTAATATGCACCACCTCAGTCCCAAAAGGATCACACAGGTGCCTGTACCATGCCATATGTCATGTGCTATATTCCAGCAAGCTCAAGAGATTAATATACAATCATTATTATGAATTATTATGTTGTATCAAAGTTAATGTTGGTCTTTTGTTCTAATTAAAGTACAAACTTGGCATTGGAACAGAAGCTTAGCTACAGAAATGAAGTTAGAGTCTCTATTTTAATGAACTACATCTTTTTTTCAATCAAAATGTGTAATTATTTAATTATCTGGTCTGCTCAGTAAGTTTAGCTCTCTAATTTGTTCAAAGACTATTTATTCAACATAATAATAACACAGATGGACACTCCTTGGAGTGTTTTATCTTTTGAAATTGTTAGCCATTGTTAAATCATGCTTTCAGTATATGTGATAGTATCTTATTAATGTTGACTTGTCTACCTTTATATCAAGCTGCTGCAAGTGACCACCTTATTCTGAAAGTCAGAGAAAATGCTATTTCTCTATAAAGACAAATTTGTCATATCCGTTTAATAAGAAACAACATATTTTACTACACCATTGCAATTTGTCTGCAGTAAACAAAGTGCCCAGATGGTTAAGTATAGCTCACATAATTATATTCCAAAGATGTTATACATAATTCCAATTAGAAGCTGAGATAGGACTCTATTAGGTGATTTTGTATTTACATTTCACATAGGAAGGTTTAATGGCAAATATTTCCCACATATTCAGACTTGCTACTTGTAGAATATGAATGCAGTTGTATTCAGAAAAGAAAAAAGTTTTCTAAGACACTTTAAGGGGCTAATTTGCTTTTATAAACATCTAGAAAAATCAGCACATCATTGATGATAGCTTCATATGTGTTTGGAATGTTAATATGGAACATGAAATAGTTTCAGCCATGTCATCAGTATAGCAATATTTAGATATATGAAATTTTATAATGAGTAAAATTTCTTAATTGTATAATAAAAATAATAAAAATAAATTTAAAATATAGCCTTAAAAGAATGGTGATAAGCAGAATATTTATAAAGATTTAGAAATTAACTTTGGATAAAATTGGAGCACAATTTCTTCATTTAAATTTGTTTGATTAAAAAATAAATCTCTCTCAAGGGGTGCCCCAATTATTAAATTGCACTGAACTGGTACAGTGTTGAATATTATTCAAAGTAGATTACATCTGTGATTTGGAAATGTTTTCACTGTAAAGAAACTAATTATTAGTGTCTTTGTTGTCACTGATTTTGGATGATTGATTTAGAGGCATGTGTCTCTAGTTCCTTAATTATATATAGGGTTGAATGCCTAATTTTTATAATATGTGGATGTCCACCAAGAATCTAGTACTTTTTATATTTAACCCAATTGTGATTTTATTTTACAACATTTTATGTACTATTCACACGACTTGATATATGGTTTACTTAGAAAAGTATGTTGTGATTTGGAGTGATAAAAAAATGGATTGGTACATCATATCCATTAAGAATACAGGTGAATATTTTATATTTTAGTTGTTTAAATATTTGCACATAGTTGAATACTATGAAATGAAGGCATCTATTAAGAAATATTTTCTGATTCATAAATGTAATGTGTATGTGCAGTGACACAGTAATATTTAAAATGCCCATTTACAAATATTAAATAGAGGTGAAAATCATTGTTATACTGTGTTTTGTTATAAATATACAAAATGAATTAGATGTTAGTCTGTATTAGTAATGAATTATCTTTCAGTTCAGATCAGTTCAGTCTCTCAGTTGTGTCTGACTCTTTGCGACCCCACGGACTACAGCATGCCCGGCCTCCCTGTCCATCACCAACTCCCGGAGTTGACTCAAACTCATGTTCATTGAGTCCGTGGTGCCATCTAGCCATCTCATCTCTGTCGTCCCCTTCTCCTCCCACCTTCAATCTTTCCCAGCATCAGGGTCTTCAAATGAGTCAGTTCTTTGCATCAGGTGGCTAAAATATTGGAGTTTCAGCTTCAGCATCAGTCCTTCCAATGAATATTCAGGACTGATTTCCTTTAGGTTGGACTGGTTGGATCTCCTTGCTGTCCAAGGGACTCTCAAGAGTCTTCTCCAACACCACAGTTCAAAAGCATCAATTCTTCGGTGCTCAGCTGTCTTTATAGTCCAACTCTGAAATCCATACATGACTACTAGAAAAACCATAGCTTTGACTAGACAGACCTTTGTTGGCAAAATGATGCCTCTGCTTTTTAATATGCTGTCTAGATTGGAGAAGGAAATGGCAACCCACTCCAGTGTTCTTGCCTGGAGAATCCCAGGGATGGGGTCGCACAGAATCGGACATGACTGAAGTGTCTTAGCAGAAGCAGATTGGTCATAAATTTTCTTCCAAGGAGAAAGTGTCATTTAATTTCATGGCTGCAAGCCACCATCTGCAGTGATTTTGAAGCCCCAAAAAAGAAAGTCTGCCACTGTTTCCCAATCCATTTGCCATAAAGTGATGGGACCTGATGCCATGATCTAAGTTTTCTGAAGGTTGAGCTTTAAGCCAACTTTTTCACTCACCTCTTTCACTTTCATCAAGAGGCTCTTTAGTTCTTCTTCACTTTCTGCCATAAGAGTGGTGTCATCTCCATATCTGAGGTTATTGATATTTCTCCTGGCAATCTTGATTCTAGCTTGTGCTTCTTCCAGCCCAGCGTTTCTCATGATGTACTCCGCATATAAGTTAAACAAGCATGGTGAAAATATACAGCCTTGATGTACTCCTTTTCCTATTTGCAACCAGTCTGTTGTTCCATGTCCAGTTCTAACTGTTGCTTCCTGACCTGCATACAAATTTCTGAAGAGTCTGGTGGTCTGGTATTCCTGTCTCCTTCAGAATTTTCCTCTGTTTACTGTGATCCACACAGTCAAAGGGTTTGGCATAGTCAGTAAAGCAGAAGTAAATGTTTTTCTGGAGCTCTCTTGCTTCTTCAATGATCCAGCAGATGTTTCCAGTTTGACCTCTGGTTCCTCTGCCTTTTCTAAATCTATATTGAACATCGGGAAGTTCACAGTTCATGTACTGTTGAATCCTGGCTTGGAATATTTTGAGCATTACTTTACTAGATGTGTGAGATGAGTACAATTGTGCAATTTATTTTTATATATTTATCTGTATTGTATATTACACCCCCCCAAAAATAAGCCTTGATCAGAAACACACTGTAAGATTTTATCATCTTTTTCTTTTTTGCCTTCCATTCTTTTCTCAAACATGCAGACCTCGTTTTAGGCCATTTAGCTTTAAAATCTGTGCCAAGTTCTAACATCAAGTAACAGCATTTGTGTCAACTCTAATGCTAAGGAGTTTTGTTCCCTCAAATATACACTAGAAAATGCCAGTTCTTTATTGCTAAGGGATCTCTATTGCATGATTAGCAGATTTCACTCATTACTCATTCAGCAAACATTGACCAAGAGCCTATTCTAGGCAAGATAGTGCATTAAGGGCTGGAGGTATAAAGATGATTAACACTGTTTTACTTTCTAGAACAGGGGTCCCAAAACCCCTGTACTGGTCCATGGCCAGGAATCTGGCAGCACATAAGGAGGTGAGCAGCAGACAAGCTAGTGAATCTTCCTCTGCAGATCCCCATTGCTTGCATTACCATCTGAACCATCCCTCAACCCCAGCCCTAGTCCGTGGAAAAATTGTCTTCCATGAGACCAATTCGTGGTAACAAAAAGGTTGGGGGTCACTCTTCTAGGATTTCACAGCCAAATAAAATATAACACTTCAGATTAACTATTGGCAATACTAGATGCAGAGGGACTCCCAATAGTGTAATTTGTCACAAGGATATTGATAGAGCAGAGATGGCTTAAAGGCACCAAATGTTCAGTCTACATAGCTAACTCACTGGGCCTTCCTTCAGTCTCATTAAGGCTAAAGCAGAGTGTTCTTTTTGTAGCCATGCGTTCCGGGAAACAAACTCACTCAGAAGGACAATGTAGATAGTGGAGTGCAGTTTATTACACTGGCAGGCCCAAGGCAGATTCTCCTCTTAGCCAAGGACCCTGACCAGTTTTTGTGAAAACCTTATATACCCTAAGTGTACATGCCCAAATCCACCTCCCCAAATTCCCTGAAACTAGTCTGAACAAAGGAAAAGAAACATACAAAGATAACCCGTGATTCATATGCCTTAAGGCTAGGTAGTTAACAGTGGACAATTATCAATAGGTCTGTGGTCATACCCCAATAAGCATAATAGAATGTATGATTCTATTCGGTTACACAGATATTTAGGGTATTCTTTTAGGCGATGGAGAGTCTAGGTACAAGCCCGGGGCTCTTTCTTCCAGGGGCCTGGTTTTCCAGTTGGTATGGCATTTCCATAGATACTGGGCATACAGCTCAAAGTCCACAGTCCGGCCCAAGATGGAGTCCTGCTTTCAAGATGGAGCCTGTTCTGTCTGTTTCCTCCTTTGATCTTCTTTATTTATCTATTTATTTATTTTCATTTATTTTTATTAGTTGGAGGCTAATTACTTTATAATATTGTAGTGGTTTTTGCCATACATTGACATGAATCAGCCATGGATTTACATGTGTTCCCCATCCCGATCCCCGTTCCTGCCTCCCTCCCCAACCCATTTCTCTGGGTCTTCCCAGTGCACCAGCCCCGAGCACTTGTCTCACCAACATCGTTCCCATATGACAGCGGACATTTTTCAGGGGCTTACCATTGTGCCGGGTATACATATGCTACACACAAAAATTTTGGAAAAATAATATGTATTATGCATATGTATATTCTGCAGAATAATGCGCATATGATTCTAACCATAAAGTAAAATTTAAATGTACAAAATTATATACCTATGACTAACATGTATTCAGGAGAAGGCAATGGCACCCCATTCCAGTACTCTTTCCTGGAACATCCCATGGACTGGGGAGCCTGGTTGGCTGCAGTCCATGGGGTCGCTGAGTCAGACATGACTGAGCGACTTCACTTTCACTTTTCACTTCCATGCATTGGAGAAGGAAATGGCAACCCACTCCAGTGTTCTTGCCTGGAGAATCCCAGGGACAGGGGAGCCTGGTGGGGTGCCGTCTATGGGGTTGCACTGAGTCGGACACAACTGACGCGACTTAGCAGCAGCAGCAGCAGCAGCAACATGTGTATTCAAAGTATAAAAATACAGACTGAAAAGTAAATAATTTGATTCATGGTAGGAGGGAAACAGTGGTAAGGATAGGGGTACAGAGAACACTATAACTGTTTTGTTTTATTGCTTTCTTTCTTTCTTTCTTTTTTTAAACAGAAAAAGGAACTGAAGCATGTGTAATAAAATGGAGGAGAGTTATATCAGATTTTCTTCTCATTTCTTTACATCCTCCCTAGTCAGTTTGGGTGGTGGATACATGTGTGATTGTTGCGGAATTCTCACTGGTTTTCTAAATAAAATTTCTGAAGTAACAAATTTCTAATAAGGTGGTCTGATCCTGGAACCCACACTTATAACCACTACCCTAATATGTCTTTCTAAAGAACACAATTTTTTAAACCCAATTCATTTGCTCTTTCCTCCTTCATCTGTACTAATCTTATAAAGGAAGAGGCATTATTAGAAGGAATTCTCTGACATCCTAAGTGCTTACAGATAGAATTTCACTACAGTTATATTTTTTTTGCCCAAATTGCTCTTCTTCAAAATTCTTCCTTGTGTTAGTAAATACTCTGGATTCTCTTACTAAAACTAGGAATCTTCTTTGATCCTTTTATTTCCTTTACTTCCTACATCTGATCTATCAGCCAGTTGAATTGGTTTTGTTGCAAAATACAGCCCCAAACTGATACTTCTCCATCTCCACTGCCACCATCTTATTTAATGCCAACATTTCTTCTGCCATGCATTACAGTAGACATAAGTATTTAAAGCAAAGGGAATTTTAAAGCATGAAAATTATTCAAAGAAAAGAGAACTTCCTTAAATTGTTAATATGTATGATAATTTGATAAGATATTATTTTCACAAAAAATAACTATAATATAACATAATAATAAAGCAAGGAAAGTTATTTAAAAATGAAAAATAAGAGGCTGCTAAATGAATGTAAGAAGTCGCTTTTCCCAGAAAAAAATATGCATATGTAGCTGGAAAGCCAATATAGCAGAGAAGGAAAAAAACAAATATCAATCCAGGAAGATGAACAATAATAATAAATGAATCAACAAGTTCTCACATTTTAAAAATATTAACTTTGCTGTACATTTGAAACTAAACTCAATATTGTAAATTATCTATACTTTACTAATAAATAATAAAATGTAAAAAGAAAAAAGTCAACTGTTTTGAAAATTGCCCTCTTACTATAAACTAGAAAACAGGGCAAGCTATATGAAACAAATGTTTTCCTGGACATTAGACAATAGGCAGTCTAGAAATAAGATGCCTGAAGGAAGACAAATAAATAAGGTGAGCCCTATAATTGCCCTGCTTACTGCCCAAAGGCAGTAAGTTGATCAAATACAAACAAGAGAATAACAGACAGTGGATATTGGACAAAGAGAGCCTTCTATATCTGAAGACAGGAATCTTCACTTGAATATGTAGGGTGGGCTATTGGGAAGTCCTCAAAGAACAACCAGTAAACAGGAGTCTGAATAAGCTCTGGGTTGGGACCAGCAGAGAGAAGCTGTATAATAATGTCCTTTCAAGTACTTTACCCAAGTCCTTGGATATCTCCTTAGTAGTAAGCAAAACTACTCCTAGGTCAAAGGCTGCTCTGGACACTTCTGAATCAAGCTAAAATCAAGAGGGTTAACCTAATAATTAGTAATTTAACTATATGACTGAACAAAGAACAATACACACAAAACGGCATGCTGCAGTCGGTGAAGTTGCAAAGAGTCAGACACAGCTGAGTGACTGAAGAACAACAAAAAATCCCTTCTTCCAGGAAGCTGACACACGCCTCTTACCTTCATCCATCAGAGGGCAGACAGAAGAAGCAAGAACCACAATCCCACAGTCACTAAAACAAAAGCACATTAGAAACAGCTAATCAACATGAAAAAGCAGAAAGTTATGTTCCACATGAAAGAACAAGATAAAGCCCCAGAAAAACAACTAAATGAAGTGGAGACAGGCAACCCTTCAGAAAAGGAATTCAGAATAATGATAGCAAAGATGAATCAGGATTCAGATAAAGAATGGAGGCAAAGATTGAGAAGATGCAAGAAATGTTTACTAAAGACCTGGAGGAAATAAAAAGCAAACAAACAGAGATGAATAACACACCAGAAGGAATCCATAGCAGAATAACTGAGGCAGAAGAAAGGGTAAATCACCTGGAGGGCATAATGGTGGAAATCACTGCCACAGAACAGAATATAGAAAAAAGAATGAAAAGAAATGAAGACAGCCTAAGAGACCACTAAGACAACATTAAATAAATAAATATTTGCATTACAGTGTTCCCAGAAAAAGAAGAAAGAGAGAAAGGGCCTGAGAAAATACTTGATGAGATAATAGCTGAAACATTTTCTAACATGGGAAAGGAAATAATCAACCAAGTCCAGGAATCATGGAGAGCCCCAGGCAGGATAAACCCAAGGAGGAACACACCAAGACATATAGTAGTCAAACTGACAACAATTAAAGAGAGAGATAAAATATTAAAAGCAACCAGGGAAAAATGACAAATAGCATGCAAGGGAACTCCTATCAGGCTACCAATTGATTTTACAACAGAAAATCTACAAGCCAGAAGGGAATGGCATGATATGTTTAAAGAGATGAAAAAGAAGCTACAATCAAGAATACTCTACCCAGCAAGACTCTCCTTCAGATTTGATGGAGAAATCAAAAGCTTTCCAGACAAGCAAACTTTAAAAGAATTCAGCACCACCAAACCAGCCTTACCAGAAATGCTAAAGACATTTCTCTAGGCAGGAAACAAGAGAAGGAAATAAATGATTTACCTACAGAAAATAAACCCAAAAACATTAAGAAAACAGTAATAGGATCATTCATGTTGATAATTTACTTAAATGTAAATAGATTAAATGCACCAACCAAAAGACATAGACTGGCTGAGCAAATGAAAACATGTGCATGTGTGCACTTCCACTTACCACATCACTCTTCCTGACCCCCAAAACTGTATGTAATAATTTTATATTGTTAGGTTAATTATGTTCCCATTATGGCTTGTAATTATCTTTTATTTTTTGTTGAGCTATTGATTGTGAACATCTTTTATTATTGTGATTATGTAATTATTAGTCACTCAATACCATTGTATCATAATTGTTCAACAGAAAAACAGTAGAATTCTATATTACCAAAACTACCATTTAATAGAAAAATCTGTAATCACTTTTTAAAATTCAGATGCATATCAGAATTATCTTGCAAATTTTTTGAAAAATACAAAGGGCCAGATACTTTTTTTTTTTTTGCCAGAGCTCCAGATATGTTTCTAATGAGCAGCCAGGTTTAAAAACATTGGACTATATGAGGAACTTTTACTTTTATCTAGCTTGTTTCACTTTTTTAATTTCATATTCAGTAGCTTTTTAATTTCTCCATGTCTTTTTTTCTGATGTATTTTCTCAAGCCTTCATCAAGTGTAATATAAAAGCTTTTGTATATATGTATATATAATATGTATTAATATATATTTTAGAAAACATGAATTTTTTTGGCCTAACTACAAAATTTATGATGTTTTGGTTCTACTTGTTTGACTTAGTATGTATAGAATGTTAGATTTCTAATCTAAAAAAAATAGATATGCAAAAAGCAATGAAGATTAATGTATAGCACAGGGAAATATGGTCAATATCTTGTAATAATCTATAATGGAAAATAATTTTAAAAATAATTTCTGTCTATATAGATAACTGAATCACACACAAAAAAGAATTCTACCTTTTGAAATTTAGTAATGTTTATCTTCTTGCCAGTTTTTTTAAATGTGCTATTGACATCTAATAACAATGTATGATATACAAAATTTTAAATATATTTCTGTAGGATGTGAATAATATAAATTAATATAAATTAAATATAAATATATTTTATTTAAATTATTAATGACATCATTCAAGATGCTCCTATCTTATCTTTTCTTCACTTGATAAAATATTCTCAGAGAAATGATAATATGTCTCACTATGATTATATATTTTCTTTTCTCTTATATTTCTTCTGATTTTTGTTTTAGGTGTCTAATGGTTTATGATGTCTATCTTCTTTGTGAATTGTACTTTTTTTTGTGCTTTTTTATCATTAAAAATATTCATCTTTGTTTCATTTAAAAGAAAGAAAGAATAAAGAAAAAAGAATGAAAAGAATTGAAGAAAGTTCAGGAAACTCTAAGATAATGCTAAATGAACTAATGTTTGAGTTGTTTTGAGAGAACAGCATCAAAACATGTATATTATCTAGGGTGAAACAGATCACCAGCCCAGGCTGGATGCATAAGACAAGTGCTCGGGCCTGGTGCACTGGGAAGACCCAGAGGGATCGGGTGGAGAGGGAGGTGGGAGGGGGGATCGGGATGGGGAATATATGTGAATCCATGGCTGATTCATGTCAATGTATGACGAAAATCACTACAGTAAAAAAAAAAAAAAAAAGGAGAGACAAAAAAAAAAAGGGTCCTATAAGAAGAAAAGAAAAAGAAAGGGACTAAGAAAATATCCAAAGAGATTAGAGTCAAAAACTTCCCTAACATGGGAAAGAAAATAGCCAGCCAAGTCCAGGAGGCACAGAGAATCCCATAAAGGATAAAGCCTAGGAGAAACACACTGAGATACACGCTAACCAAACTAACAGAAATTAAATTCAAAGAAAAAATATTACAAACAACAAGGAAAAAGAAAAAATAATATGCAATGTAATCCCCATAAGGCTATCAGCTGATTTTTCAGCAGAAGCTGTGCAGGCCTGAATGGAGTGGCAGGATATATTTAAAGTGATTAAAGGAAAAAACCTACAACCGAGATTACTGTACCCAGGAAAGATCTAATTCAGAATCGACTGAGAAATCAAAAGCTTTATAGATAAGCAAAGGCTAAGAGAATTCAGCACCACCAAACCAGCTTTACAGCCAATGCTAAAGGAACTTCTCTAGGCAGGAAACACAAGAAAAAGACCCACAAAATTAAACCCAAAAGAATTAAGAAAAAGGTAACAGAAACATG